TCCAGCCAGTGTGACCATTCGGAGAGTGAACCAGCGGATGGAAGGCCTTTCTCTGTCTCTGCCTCTGTCTGTAACTATCTCTCAAACAAATAAATAAAATCTCAAAAAAAAAAAAAAAAAAAAAAAAGAAAGATGAAAGCGGTGCCCAAACCCATCGTAATTACCTTGCTGAAACAGTGATTTAACAGAACTGAAGAGCAGTCAGAAAAGAGATGTTATATATGAGTAAAGAACATTAAGACAAATAGTGAACTTGTCTTGGGAACCAGTGAAAGCCAGAGAGAGAAGTCACATCACATCTCTGGTCCAGCATTGCTGGCATCTCACGTGAGTGCCCATTTAATTTCTGGCTGCTCTACTCCTTTTTTTCTTTTTTTATGTATTTATTTATTTGAAAGAGTTACACAGAGAGACAAAGAGAGGCAGAGAGAGAGAGAGGCCTTCCATCCACTGGTTCACTCCTCAGTTGGCCAAAACAGCCAGAGCTGTGCTGATCCAAAGCCAGGATCCAGGAGCTTCTTCCGTGTCTCCCACGTGGGTGTAGGGGCCCAAGCACTTGGGCTGTCTTCTATTGCTTTCCCAGGCCATAGCAGAGAGCTGGATTGGAAGTGGAGCAGCTAGTCTCGAACCGGCGCCCATATGGGAATGCCGGCACTGCAGGTGGCAGCTTAACCTACAATGCCACAACGCCGGTTCCAAGGCTACTCTACTTCTAATCCAGCTCCCCGCTAATGCTCCTGGGAAAGCAGCGGAATATGGCCCAAGTTCTTGGGCCCCTGCACCCTTGTGGGAGACCTGGATGGCGTTCTAGGGTCCTGGGGGAGTGAACCAGTACATGAAAAATCTTTCTCTCCATGTTTTTGTAACTGCCTTTCAAATAAATAATATAAATCTTTAATAATGATAATAAAAAAGAGTCACATCTTTGTGATAGGCCAAGTGCTGAAAGGGAAAAAAAAACTGTAATTTAGAATTCTGCACCAGCAAAAATGCTTAAAAATGCAGAGGATGGGTTGGTGATACGGCGTGGTAGGTTAAGCTGCTGCTTGCAATACCAGCATCTTAGAGTGCTCGCTGGTTTGAGTTCTGGCTTCCACGTTTCCGCTTCCAGTGCAGCTCCTACTAATTCATCTGGGAAAGCAAGGGAAGATGGCCCAAGTGTTTGAGACCCTGCTACCCACATGAAAGATAACAGAGGGAGCTGCTGGCTGTGGCCTGGCTGTGGCCACCATTTGGGGAGTGAACCAGTGGATGGGAGATTTCTGTTTTTCTCTGCCTGCCTGCCCCCCTGCCTTTCTTTTCTTTTTCTTTTTCTTTTTTTTTTTTTAAGATTTGTTTTTATTTATTTGAAAGAGTTACAGAGAGAGGTAGAGACAGAGAGAGAGAGGTCTTCCATCTGCTCCTTCACTCCTCAGATGGCCACAATGGCCAGAGCTGTGCCGATCCGAAGCCAGGAGCCAGGAGCTTCTTCCAGGTCTCCCACGTGGGTGCAGGGGCCCAAGGACTTGGGCCATCTTCTGCTGCTCTCCCAGGCCGCAGCAGGGAGCTGGTTCTGAAGCAGAGCAGCCAGGACTTGAACCAGCACCCAAAAGGAATGCCAGTACTGTAGATGGCCACTTAACCAGCTATATCACAGTGCTGGCCCCTCTGCCTTTCAGACAAAAAAGTTGTGTTTTTTTTTTTTTTTTTTTGGATAGGCAGAGTTAGTGAGAGAGAGGGAGAGAGGGAGAGAGAAAGGTCTTCCTTTTCCGTTGGTTCACCCCCCAAATGGCTGCTGTGGCTGGCGCACTGTGGCCAGCACGCTGTGCCGATCCGAAGCCAGGAGCCAGGTGCTTCCTCCTGGTTTCCCATGCGGGTGCAGGGCCCAAGCACTTGGGCCATCCTCCACTGCCTTCCCGGGCCACAGCGAGAGCTGGACTGGAAAAGGAGCAACTGGGACTAGAACCGGCACCCATATGGGATGCTGGTGCCACAAGTGGAGGATTAACCAAGTGAGCCACGGCGCCGGCCCTTTCAGACAAATTTTTAAAAAATTTAAATTTTAAATAAAAAAGAGGTTAGACAAATCTTTTAAACTTCCAAATATCAAGAGGATAGGAACCTCAGAATTTATTAAATGCTCCAGATCAGTGTTTACAGGGACGTTGATGGCGTTAACCATGTAAGTTACACAGGGTAAGGGCTCAGCAGCCTGGATTTCTGCCCTGACGTGGAGACGGGCTGGAGACGCAGCACAGCTGCCGGACCAGATCCACGTAAGCGCCAGTGCAGACCCGCCGCCGCCTCTGCTGCAGCTCCCTGCTGATGGCCTGGGAGGGCAGCAGTGATGGCCCAAGTCCTTGGATCCGTGCCACCCCATGGGAGTTCAGGATGGAGTTGCTGGCTTTGGTTTGGCTCAGCCCTGGCTCTTGGGAGGTAAACCAGTGTTTGGAAGGTCTCTTTTCTTTGTCTCTCCTTGTTTGTTGCTCTGCCTTTCAAATAAATAAGTCGTTAAAAAAAAGAACAGTTTTAACCAACTATACCTAAAGTAACTCAAAGAAAGGAAATAATACCATAAAAGCAAGAAGCAGTGGAGAAAATTTAAAATATAGAAATCATGAAACCCAGAGCTCATTCTTTTCAGTAGTAAAGATGATAATTCTTGAGCCAGGCCAAATAGTTGATGAGATACTGCACCACAGAGGAGATAAGAATGGGCATAAACACTTTGAAAAGACATTTCACATCTTTGGTCATTAGGGAGGACACAGAGGGATAATAGCGTGCCCTCAGTGGCTGCGGCTGAAATCCTGCACCCACGGAATGCGGGTTAGTCACAACTCTGACACTGCTCTCTGGGAGAAATGGGCAATTACTTAAGGTTAGACATATTCCTGCCTTGAGAACCAGCTCTCCTATTCCTTGATGTTTATAGCAGAGAAAAGTATGTATCTACACCAGGATTGCACACAAAGGTTCATACCAGCCATTGCTAACAGCCAGAGCCCACAGAGAGCCCAAATGTGCATCAGTGGGGAATGTGGCCTACCTACACAGTGGGGTGGTACTCATTCCTGATCCGTGGGTGGAATCATCTCAGAGTAACTGTGAAAGAAGCCAGATCAGAGAGACTGTATTGTGTGGTGTTATTTATATACAGCTTTAGGAATTGCAGAGTAATCTGGTGACAGACGCAGTCCATCGGCTGGAGGGAAGGAGCAGCACTGAGATGCACTGAGTCTCAGGGCAGTGGGGATGCTGGTGATCTTCACTGTGGCTGTTGTTTAAATACCTGCAAAGAGAGCTCTCACGCGGCCCGTCCTGTCAGATTTTGGTTGAACATCAAAGACTGGAGGGGCAGTGGGGCTGCTGAGGGGGCTGACTGAGCCTCTGCAGGAAGCTGGAGAAGCTGGGGAAAACCAGACCGCTCTCACTGCTCCTCCTCCTGGCCGCTGAGAGGGGTGGAGGACAGGGAGCGTCTGCTGCCAGGGCCCTGCCGGGTGCTCAGGCAGGAGCGTGGGCAGAGCAGCGCCTGCCCCTGGAAGCTCGCGGGGCTCCTGCAGCCAGTGCACTTAGGGCCTCGCTCTCGGGCCTTCGGGACAGGCTCTCAGAAGGCACAGGGCCCACGATGGGGTCATGCTCAGCTCCCCCACCCCCGGCTAGAGGAAGTGCTTGCTCGCTGGATGACGTGTCTGTGCCTGTCCATTTCTCATAGGACAGTTGATAATCTCTGGGAAAGGTCGGAGGTAATAATTCCTCCTGTGTGTTCTACCTCTGAGGCTTCTGCCGCCATTTCTACCCTCACCCCACAACCCCACAACTCCACAGTTCAGGAGCTGTTTGAAAAAGCAGCCATTGAAATGAGGGAGTTGGAGAGGAAGTCAACATTATTATTTTAAGATTTATTTATTTATTTGAAAGAACGACAGAGGGGAAGGGAGAAGGGGAAAGGGGTCGTCGGGTGGAGAGAGAGACTTCCATCCACTGGTTCACACACCCCCCCCCCCAAAATGTCTGGACCAGACTGAAGCCAGCAGTCTGGAACTCTGTCCTGGTCTCACGTGTGGCTGCCAGGGGCCCAAGCACTGCCTTCTCAGGAGGTTAGCTTCGGGAAGCTAGTTCAGAAGTGCAGTATACAAGGCTCCCAGCCTACACTCTGATAAGGGACGCCCATGTCACAGGTGACGGCTTAACCCTGTGTGCCACAGTGCCAGCCTCCCTCATTAGGATTGCTGAGCCTGGGAGGGACACTGGCTCTTGGGTGCATGGCTGCCACCAGGCCCCCTACTATTTGTCTTGAATCTTGGGTGCCCACCACAGAGACGGTGTGGACTTCCCAGCACCCTCGCACCAGAAGTCCCCGTCTGAGGACTGGAGCTTTGTGCACAGGTGCCTCTTGGATAGCGGCTTCCAGCTTCATGGATAATCAACAGTGTTGATGCTTTCACACGGTCTGAAATTGACCCGAGTTTCCCTCATGGCAAGGAAGTAAATCAGAAGTCTGGGTGGAAGGGTTAATTGGACAGTTTTCTAACTCCTGCTGAGATTTTCTTTATGACATTACTGATTTTAAAGATTTTTTTAATGTCTATTTTCATCTAATTTAAAGGCAGAGTGAGAGAGGCAGATGTTATCTTCTGACTGCTGGTCTACTCATCAAACGCCCACAATAGCCCCAACTGGGCCACGCTGAAGCCGGGAGCCTGGAACTCCATTTGAGTCTCCCATGTGGGTGGTGGTAGCAGGAAGCTGTATGGGAAGCCAAGTAGCTGGACCTAAGCCAACACTGCAGTATGGGGTGCAGTTGTCCCAAGTGTCAGCAAGCCTGCTCCTACAGCATGACTATTTTATTTGAAGTATTACAAGCTTCTGGAATACTAGGTTTTATTTAACCAGTTTCCTATTTTATGTCTTTCTGAATAAATATACGTGTGCCTTTTAACTAGAAATACATATATATTTTAAGTGTCTTGGCTTTGTGGATCAGGTCTTGAAAATGGATTTTTTTTTCTCTATTCCAGACTCCTTTTAGTTTTGGCATGAATCATAGGACGCCACCCTATCCTGCTGGGGATTATTGTCTTCTGTGCAGAAGTGAACGCAAAGACTCTTCATTCTTAGAGAGTGGGATTAAGACTGCGAACAAACTGGCTCTTTCCATGGCTCCCAAGGGTAACAGTGTGCTGCACCTGCCGCTGTGGGTGTGCCCAGACTGCCGGAGGACCGTGGAGAAGGAAGAGAGGCTGGGTGGCCCGGACCAGCCGGCGGTGAGTGGCTGCCAGCCCTGCGAGCTGCTCGCCTGCGGGCTCTGGGCTAATTGGCAATGAAAGAGAGAAGTCTGTGTGCTTTCAGGGGTGCTGCCTCCTGCACCATCTCGGGCCTGTGCCCCACCCTGTGGGATGTTCCTCCAGGCCTTCCTTGGCTTCCTGGTAGGGCACCTGCTGTCCTTGTCCAGATACAACACCGTTGGCAGCTGGGAACCCAAAGCATGTGTGTTGGCCTTTCTCGTCTGGGCTCAGGGTTTTTTCTGGCAGTAACTTCCTGAAAAGCTGGTAGGCTTTTCATGTGTTAAGGTCTAGAAAATTCCATGTGCAGTTAACTCCCATGAAGTTCTTTCCCAGATGCGTAAACCTGGCTCTCCCTTGCTCTTCCTCAGTTCCACGCCTCGGCCCTTTCGAGGCCGCCTTGAGGCCGCCAGGCTCTCGGGGAAGGGCACCTCTGAATCTGATACTTGACCTCTGTTGAGTCCTGGAGGGTCCTGGTGACAAGAAGACGTTCAGGTTTGCCCCTCGGGTTCCAGAGGGAGTTGACTTCTGCTGCCATTTAACCTGCACATTCCAGGCGTCCTCTGTGTCCTTTGACGGCTGCCTGCCCCAGTGAGTTATTTTCTAGGCTGTTTGCTTTCATCTCTGAGCCCTGCAGCCTCTAAGAGTTGATTTACTGCTGTTCTAAGGTGCAAGGAACAGTGGGCTGCTGCGGTGTGTGGGTCTGCCCTCCTGCAGGTCTTGCCTGCTTCCTTGCTGCTAAGCCAGTGCCTCCTGGAGGACCGCACCCCAACTCCAGTGCCAGGACAGCTGTAGCAGCCCACCCTCAGGCGCGCCCTGTTCCTCAGAATGGAGATCGATTCTCAGTGAGCCGCTCCACATGCCCCCTTTTCCTGCTTTATTTGTAACATGCTGTGTATTTTTTTAAAGATTTATTTATTTGAAAGGCAGAGTTACAGAGAGGAAGAGCCAGAGAGAGGGAGAAAGAGAGAGATCTTCTGTCTGCTGGTTCGCCCCTCAGATGGCCATAACGGCTGAAGCTGGGCTGATCTGAGGCCAGGAGCTTCTTCTGGGTCTCCCACATGGGTACAGGGGCTCAAGCATTTGGCCCATCTTCTGCTGGTTTCCCAGGCTATAGCAGAGAGCTGGATCGGAAGTGGAGCACAGGGGACTCTAACCAGCACCCATATGGGATGCTGCATTGCAGGCAGCGGCTTTATGCGCTGTGCCACAGCACTGGCTCCCGTTTGGGTCTCTTGTTGGTTGCAGGGCCCCAAACACTTGGACCATCTTTGCTGCTTTCCAAGCTCATTTAGCAGGGAGCTGGACCAGAAGTGGAGCAGCCAGGACTTGAACTGAGATGCCAGCATTGCAGGCAGTGGCTTAATCCAGGGTGCCACAGCCCGGGCCCCTTCTGGTTGTTCTTGCGCTCACGGTCTGTGTCCCCTGAGGCATTTGCTGTCTTCCCCTGGTTTTGATTGAAGGTTGGTTACGTATATCAGTGGTAATGTAAGTGTCCTGTTCACTTACAGTGACATCCATAAGCCTTCCCACTGACCAGAGCACGCTTTGCTTTTGAACCTTTTTTTTTTTTTTTTTTTTTTTTTGGCTTCCTTAACTGCATCATCTCCTTTCTTTGTCCTAGCCCTCCTCTGGTACCTCTGAGGAGGCATTGCCTTTGATTACCCTGTCTCACAGGTATCCTGTCCCATCCCCCATCAGTCGGACCCTGGGGGATTGGTAATCCCCAACTGGTTCTTGTGATGAATTGCCTATCCTGAGGGTTTCATTCCTTATAAAAAGCAGCAGCCTGGGGCTGATGCTGTGGCATGAAGGGGTAAGCCTCCACCTGCGGTGCTCGCATCCCATATGGGCCCTGATTCTAGTCCCGGCTGCTCCTCTTTGACTCCTGCTCATGCACCTGGGAAAGCTGTGGAAGATGACCCAAGTCCTTGGGCCCCTGCACCCACGTGGGAGACCTGGAAGAACCTCTTGTTTTCAGATCAGTTCAGCTCTAGCTGTTGAGCCATTTGGGGAGTGACCAGCAGATGGAAGACCTTTCTTTCCATCTCCCTCTTTCTGTCTATAACTTAACCTCTCAAAAAAATAACATCTTTTAATAAAAATTAAAAAAAGAAAGTGTAGTGTTTAGCAGTCAGGGCTGGGCCAGCCTAGAGCCAGGGCTCTGTTTAAGTCTCCCAAAAGGTGGCAGAGATCCAGCCCCCTGAGCCATGCCTGCTGCTTCCCAGAGTGCATGTCCGCAGGAACCTGGAGCTGAGCGGAGTCCCAGCTCAGACTCAGGCGCTCTGGTATGGGAGAGAGAAAAAGATCTTCATCTGCTGTTTCCCTCCCCAAATGACAGCAGCAATGGACAGGGCTGGGCCAGGCCAAAGCCAGGATCCTGGAACTCCATCTGAATCTTCCCTGTGGACGCAGGGACCCAAGTACTTGGGCCATTTTCTGTCTTCCCAGGTGCATTAGTATAGAGCTGGATCAGAAATAGGGCAGCCAGGACACAAACTGGTACCCATGTGGGATGCTGGCACTGCAGGCAGTGGCGTAACCTGCTGTGCCGCAAGCCCAGCCCCCAGGTGACCTCTTAATCACACTGCACAAACATTTGCCCCTGTTCCTTGTCGGTGTTGAATAAGTTGTACGGTTATACCAGTTGAATTATTCCCTCACCAATTAGCTGATGGATGTTTGTTTCCAGACGTGAGCTGCTGTGGAGAGAGCTGCTGTGAACCTTCTTGTGGGGATTTTCTGTGAACAGTTCTGAGTGTTGCTGGACTGATCTGCTAGAATTCTGTTGTGGGTTCTGTCTCTGGGCTCAGACAGATGCCTGCCCCAGTCTTCTCGTCTTGTAAGGTCCTTCAGGGCTGCTTGCTGGGATGTGTTCCTGTTTCTCCTTTCAGGGACAGCTTAGGTGGAGTTGTTTTCCTTTCATACCCTTCTGTTGGGATTTTGTTGCATTAGTGTACTCTCATGTTGTATTTAGACTCGAGCAGTCAGCATAGAGGTTAACTTTATTGGGTCTCAGTTGAAAATCTACTTTTAAAAAATTTATTTGAGAGAGAGACAGAAAGAGCTCCTGTGTGTTGGTTCATTCACCAAATGCCTGCAGTGGCTGCGGGGCCAGATCTGGGAGCTGAGAACTCGGCCCAGGTCTCCCGGGTGGGTGACAAGAACTCAGTTACTGGAGCCATCCCTGCTGCTCCCAGAGAGCACGTTAGCATGAAGCTGTCGTTGAGAACAGAGCTGGCGCTCTGGAATGGGAAGTGCACGTCTTAACCGCAAGGCCAAACGCTCACTCCAGAGTCTCTTCTTGGTGAAGGTGGTGTCCGTGCTGTGTTACAGCAGTCGCTGATGCTAGTTGCTGCCACACCCTTGGCGCAGGTCCCTCGAACCCCTTCCAGCCATTCGCTCCTCAGAGCTTTCCTCCCCTGCAGCTCGTTTGCACGCACTGCCTTGCTTTTCTTTACTGTTATACCACCGAAGCTATTCTTGGGGTCCAGTGTTCCTGGCGTTTTAATTTTATAAAAGTACAGTTATGTTAGCTGTATACTTTTAAAAATTTTATTTATTTGAAAGGCAGAGTTGGAGACAGATAAAGAGGGAAGAAGAGATAAATCTCCCATTCCTGATTCACTCCCCATATGGCCTCAATGGTTGGGCTGCACCAGGCTGAAGCCAGGGGCCTGGAACCATGTCTGGGTTTCCCACATGGGTGGCAGGGGCCCAAGCACTTGGACCATCTTTTGCTACCTTTCTAGGCATACTGGCAGGGAGCTAGGTTGGAGGTAGAGCAGCCTCGACTAGAACTGGTGCCCATATGGGATGCTGGCATTGCTGGAGTGCAGGCTGCGGCTTAACCTGCTGTGCCGGGACACCAGCTCCTGGGCGTGTGGTCGTAGTTGATGTGTGTCGCCCGGGATTACACCTGAGACTCATCAGGGTTGTCATTTCCTCGTTTTCATTGCTGCTTGTTTGCATCTTTATGAAAATGTTGTATTTTAGGTTCAGATTTTGATTTTATGAATGATGCTCTTAGGGTACACAGTCACTCATTCTGTTTATAGAAGTGGGAAAGAAATTGCTGAGTCACAGGGGATTTCTGTAATTGACTGCATGTCAAGAGCATAATCTTAAATGAAAGCTATTTTTCAGACCAGAGCTAATTTAATGAGTAGAGTGGCAGTATTATGTGTTTTTCGGAAATCTCTTTTGCATCTATTTTTTAAAAAGGATTTATTTATTTAGGGACTGATGTTGTGATGCAGTGGGTTAAGCCACTGTCTAGGATGCCAGAATCCCACATGGGTGCCAGTTCAGGTTCCAGCTGTTCCACTTCCAGTCTGACTCCCTGCTAATGTGCCTGGGAAGGCATGAAAAAATGGTCCAGGTACTGGGACACCTGCCGTCCACGTGAGAGACCCGGATGCAGTTCCAAGCACCAACATCAGCCTCGCTCATTCCTGGCTGTTGCAACCATTTAGGGAGTGAACCCACCTCCCCTCTCTTTCTGTAACTCTTTCAAATAAATAAAAAAGTCTTTGGGGAAAAATGTATTTGAAAGCAGACTGATGGAGAGAGAGAGAGAAAGAGGGTTGGGGGAAGAGAGAGAGAGAGAGAATCTTGCATCTGTTGGTTCATTCCCTCTAACACCTGCAGCAGTCAGGGCTGACCCAGGCTGAAGCCAGGAGCCAGGAACTCCATCCAGACCCCAAGTTCTCGGGTCAGGGCTGTCACCTGCTGCCTCCCAGGTACATTAGCAGGAAGCTGGGATTAGGAGCATGGAGTAGCCCAGGACTCAAACCAGGCACTCAGATATGGGGTCCAGGATGCGACATCGCAGACAGCCCTGCCACATGCCTGTGTATTCTTCAACTGTGTGTCCTTAACTTGTATTTAACTATTTTTTTAAAAGATTTTATTTTTATTTATTTTAAAGAGAGAGGTAGAGACAGAGAGAGAGGTCTTCCATCCACTGGTTCACTCCCCAG